GCAGTTGATATGAAAAGATGCTAACAAAATTTATCACCATACATGTATATCAATGGTACATCATAAATATTTATTCTGAAATAGATCCATTCAAAAATCATCACTGCAGGATTTTACAATGCCCTTAATCTCAAAAGCTGTGGTTACTACTACTACTATGAGAGTGTTTAACGACCTTGACTTGCTATAGAGCCCTTGTACAGTCATAGCTAAGGTTAAACAACACTAATGTATTGCTTCCCAAAAACCTTTGTTAAAGGCTAGACAAAAAAAGAGTCCAATTCATATACTACTGGTAGATAAAAAAAAGTAACTGTGCATCCTTAAAAACTACCTAAAACTTACAAAATTAACCTAAAATTTAAAGATGTCAAATTCTTCATAAAAAGATGCTTTTGAAGATATCTAATCAGGTAATACTCAACTCTGCACTGCTTATTTTTGCATGATTCTTAAGCACTTGTTCATTTTTCTTTTAATTTTCTTGCACATTGCGTCAGTTTTTTGTGGAATAAGTTGAAAAACATCTTTTAATCTCTAACTAACATGGAATACATTTTTGCTATTGCTCACTAATGATACTCTAATGCCAGCACCTCCCCAAGGCTGTAAGTATTTGGTAAACAGGAAGTTAAAAAGCAATGGATGTAAACATCCATGCATTAACACTGTATTGCAAGCTCACATTAATTAAGATACCAAATTTCAGGGTGCTCTGATTTGTAGTTTGAACTGTTTCATATGTTTTGGAACATCCTGTAGTCATGGTAGTGAAATAGAAGGCATATGGTTGGGTAGATACTTTACCATTTAGGTGTAAAATGTTGTACATAGTACTCTATATAAATCACCATGATTCCTCATATACATGTTTATGTATTTATATATATATATATATTTCCATTCTCAATTTTATATATAATTAGTAGTGTACATGTACAAAGGTAAAATTTATATTATTGGTTTAATATACTAGTTCGGAAGCACAAGTAGTATTAAACATACGAAGGCCGTAAGGCCGTACAGTGACCTATAGTTGTTAATTTCTGTGTCATTTGGTCTCTTGTGGAGAGTTGTCTCATTGGCAATCATACCACATCTTCTTTTTTTATATATTTTACACATGTATGTACAAGAACTTTGACAAATACATATATATATATATATATAATTCAATACTGGGAGCTGAACATTTATATAGATATAAGAAGATGTGGTATGAGTGCCAATGAGACAACTCTCCATCCAAGTCACAATTTGTAAAAGTAAACCATTATGCCTTAAACACGGAGCCTTGGCTTACACCTAACAGCAAGCTATAAAGGGCCCCAAAATTGACTAGCGTAAAACAATGCAAACAGGAAAACCAACGGTCTAATCTATATAAAAAACAAGAAATGAGAAACACTTATGAACCACATCAACAAACGACAACCACTGAAAATCAGGTTCCAGACTTAGGACAGGTGCAAACAAATGCAGCGGGTTTGAACGTTTTATCTGGCGCCAACCTTCACCCTAACCTGAGACAGTGGTGTAACAATATGACATAAAAGGACACACTATAAAACATTAATTGAAAAAAGGCTCAACTCATCAAAGTATGAATACTAACAGATTTTAGACAAAAGTTAGACCATGAAAACCAAATTACCAAATAGTTAAATTATAAACCACAGAAAAGTATATCAAAGCCAAAACAGTATGAAATAATTTTGCCAAACAACCGGTCACTTATGGACCACTCAAAAAGAGCTTGTTGAGAAGGATCTTTAACGTGCAAAGAGCGTGGAACTTCCTGAACACAGGACCTTGGATTTAACGTCCCCATCCGCAACCATCTGACCGTCCGACAGATATATCTGTTTTGATTACTCTAGTACACATGACTAATTAAACCTCTTCTGTTAATCAAAACTCAATATGCCTGCCTACAAGGTAATATCACCATTAGTAATTTTATTTTCACTTCCTATTTGGTAATTTTACCTTCATTTCCTATTTCTTTTGTATGATAAACCCACTGATTTCCTCTCTGGTTTCCCAAAATCTACAAATAAGCAACATACTTCAAAGTTAGAAATGTACAGCTCCAGTTACCTAGTAACTAGTGATCAATATCCCTATCACTTGGTATTTTTAAGTTACAATGCAAGAATTGTGTAAATCCTGCATACTGCTGATAACTATAGGAAGTCATATTCCATATTTTAGAAAACGAAAAGGGAAAAATATTCATGACCATACAAGTATTATACTTGTTTGGTTATTAACGGGCGGAGTAATATGAGTATTTAGACCACATAGGTATTTCATCATTTATCTTGTCGACTTTTTGTCCGCAAGTGAAACCACAGGCGTTTTTGGCATGGACCTTTTTGCTTTTTCTTAGTGTTTAAATTATTTCTGAAACAACCTTTCTTTTAATCTCAACTTATTTTCATTTAATTATTGTGGTCTTAATTTCTCCTATTCATACGATTTATCTATTTAATATTGTAAGTTCGTATAAATATGAGCAAGAACACATTAAATAACTAAAAACAATTTAAAATATTTATAATTCTCTTGTTTGGTTTTCTCAACAATACAGCAGTTCCGGGATACGGTTTTAAGACGAATCTGTCATGTGACTTCCATCACCACGTGACCAAAATGTATGCATCGTCACTTCCAACACATGTTGAGCAAACGGGTGAAAAAGTTTGATTTTATACTGCACAAAATATTTGGGAAATTAAAATCTAATAAGATGGTAACCCTACCTCAGTCGTACGGGAATCAAGATTACGTACTTACGGAACATAAATTATTTCTATAATCCCTACAAAATGACGATTATGAAAGTGCTGGAAACTTTTAATAGAGCAGGGATACAGGCGCGCCTTCTATCTGGTAAATGACGTCATAAAGGCGTGCGAAATTGACAATCTTTTCCGGTGAAAGACATGATTCCAGAAATGACGTATTACTTGACAAAAGCATAATGAATACTTTAGATGCATCAAAGAAATGATAATCATTAAAACAATTAATAATGAATATAAATTTATGATTAAAATGTATTTTTTATCCTTTCTAATTCTAAAAACAATTATATTTTCCTCCCTTTATAACAATAAAAGCCATAGCCGAAACGATATTACAAAGTATGGCCTAAACGACTGTGGTCGAAACGAGTATCATGGCAGAAACGACTTTGGCCGATACGGCAGTGTGACCGAAACGTCGTGCATCGAAAAAACGTGCCTTATAACTTTCATTTGAAGAAAAATAGGATAGGTTTGCTAATGGGAATATAACATAAATGATTCTATAATTATTGTTTGAATTAAATAAATAATACACTATTTCAAAAGGTCTCGTTCTTCTCGGTTCCCACACTTTATTTAAAGGAGACGATATGGGTATGGGGAGAGAAACGATAACCTGCAGTGTAGAGTCAAAATTTGACATTCCTTAATAATATATCTTTACTGTCAAATAAACATAATTAGTTTGTGACAAAAAACATAAACAAACATAATATAGCAAAGAAATAATAATTCTTTGAGAAATGAACACATGGAAAAAATTATAAGACTTCTGCCCTCAGTTCTAATGACTGTTTTATAAAGGAGCCAATATTTCTAAGGTTTTTTTTTGCTTTTTTTGTTCTTGGGTAAGAGACATAAAATTATGAGAGGTAAACAATTTTCAAGTAGATTATCCCTTAGTTTTTTTGTTAATTTTACATTCAAGGAGAAAGTGTTTTTCATCCTCCAGCAAGTGGCACAGTTTACATATTCTATTATTTCTAGGAATTTTATAATAGCGGCCCTTTTCTATTTCTAAATTATGGTCACTAATTTTCAACTTAGTGAAGCATTTTCTTATAGAAAAGTCATTGGAAGCTAAATAAAATTCCCTTAATAATAAAGTATACAAATGTATTTACTAATAGGGAGTCATGTGTCAACTGTGAAATATAATTAACTAAAATAGAGAAGAATGTAACACTCACACAACACAATAAAAGACATCAACTTTGAACATTCCTTATATGGTATATTATTATTTTATTGTCAATAATTTTGTGTACAGTAGTTTTTACAAAATTTAAGAAGGTTTATCGGAAGATTCACAAAAACCTGACACCCCCACCACCCCTCCCCCTTTTTATTTCTACAGGAATATTGTTCCAAAGAGAACCGGAATATTGAAATTTCTCATTCATAAAAAAAAATCAGTAGGACCTGGGTAGTGCTGAAAATTCACTGTTTATAACGGTAACGGCATTATGTAAGAGATAAATTAGTCCTGGTAAAATGTATCCGGAGGGACAAATATTACAAGTATAAAAACTCCATGGTTACAGAATTTACTAGTACATTTAGTCCGATGTCAGTAATTTATGTCCATCACATCAATATTCCTAGGTAAAAACGTCCATGACCTTTATTTTACTAGGAAAATATGTAATAAAAGAAATCATTTACCGTACATGTGAACAATGGAATTTTTAATTCTTATGTTTAATAGTTGTTTAACAGTTGTGCATTAATCTCTTAATAAAATTTATGTGCCCAGACTAATTTTCCGAGGAATTCATGTCCAGGCCATTAATATTCCTAGGTAAAAAAACGTCCGTGTCCTTTATTTTTATAGGAAATTTTGTAGTGAAAGAAATAATTTACATTTAAACAATGGAATTCTAATTCTTATATGTTTTTAAATTGTTTAACAGTTGTGCATTAATATTTCACTATTAAAATATGGTTGTTTTTAGATAATTGATCAGACTTTTTTCCCTAGGAAAATTGATATCACAGACTTTTATGATGTACATAATTATAAATGTTCCTTTCTTTATGTTAAAATTGATTAATTTAAAGAATGTCTTAAGAAAAAAAATAAAAGTGATTTTTTTCATAGAAAAAAATGAGAAAACGGGTATATATAAGAATATTCCGAGGAAAATAAGTGCCAGACATATTTTACTAGCTATTGACTTATTTTCCTAGGAAAATTTACCCAGTGACTTACATTCCTAGTAAAATTATGGTCATGGTTGATTACCTAGGAAAAAAAGTCCGGCGGACAAATTTTACTACCGGACCGAATTTACTGTTACAATTAAACTGCATGTCTAAGTACAAAACAGTCAAAATGACGTACGTAATCATGAATATGGAATAACCAGGTCCTTGTTTCAATTATGTACTGATAATTTTCAGTTTACTTTAATATCGAATTAGTCTCAAACTGTCTGACAGCGTCTGTTTATTGTAGTTTGAACAATGTTATATATGTTATACCTGCTGTTTCCCGTGCAGTTTAGAAGCAAGCAGAGCAGCAAATCCTTTCTTTGTGGCCAATACTTCATCTTCTTCATTAGGATGATAAACTTTCAAAATCTCTCCATATGGCGTTATTTCAAAAGAAAACCTAAGGAATAACTCATATATGATGCAAGATATAAATAAATACGAATCGAAAGTTGGATCATGAAAAAAAAAATTGCAGTCAGTTATAAACAAAGGGCAATTTCACATCACGTCCGTGAAAGTGCTAATTAAGAAAGTATTTGCGGCTGTTCACCAAATCTCCTCCACCCCGCCCTCCTTTCATGCACTATACACTTTAGTGTCCGAGTTGGAAAACAACCATTGAATGGTACGATATCTTGTGTTTATACTTTTGGAAAAAAAGTACTTGTACTTTCGCCAAGGACCTGATAAGCCTCTGATCGTTAGACAACCAATAAATCTTGGACATACCAATAAGAAAACTCTAAGAGCATTCAGCGATAATATAAGTCACGATAATTATTCAAGTTATTTATTAATAGTTGAGGAAATCATTGAATCCAATGACGTTCCAATCAGTTTTTCAACATGAAGCGAAAAATCTCTAGCCATTTTGCTAAAATGTTTTGTAGAACGGAAAATATGAAAATCCTCTTGTTAATTTTTTTCTTACACCCAAACCCCCTTTTCCTTCTCACCAAGCACACACACATCACCACCACCACCACAACGATCTCCCACCGTTTATATTTGCATTGATATCCTTTATATTTTTTACTATGAATACTTACCATTTGGAGAGATCCATGTCATGGCCGGAAGAACCTGAAAAAGTATGAAATATACCAGCTTTGAGTCTGAGTCAACCCATATGTATAGTTACCAATGTAACATATATATTTCACTCAATTTTATTAGATTGAAGGATAATATTGATTATTTGCGCCATTTGCAAAAACTTCATTTTATCATAATGCCTTATTACCCCAAAAAGGGGGATTTTACAGCAATGACATTGCATTCCAAGGACGCAAAAGAAAAAAGGTCATCGATCGTGGTCATCATATATATATATATATACTATTATCAACAATTTACAAGTGTCTATACCAGATACACCAAGATCTTAATCCCCCAATTCAAATAAAGTTGCGTAGAAAATAAAGATTATCAAAATATCTCCCATCAATACCAATTTTAACTAAACATGGGTTTTTCTAATTGTTGAAGGTTGTACAGTTGCCTATAATTGCTTACATCCACTTCATTTGAATTTTCCTGGATAGTTGTCTCATTGGCAATCATACCACAACTCCTTATCTTTTACATTAAACTTTTGCGAGATTTTCCCCTACGGACAGTCGAGTTCCGCTAGATTTTTAGCCCTGCTTCTTTAGCAATTCATCCTATGCTTTTAAATCCAAACTAATGGCATAACAAGAGATACAAAGAAGGACGAACAATAAAAATCAGACCAGAAAAGCACCTTAGAGCGCTTCACACTAACAATGTAAAATTTCCAATACAATAGCTAAATCTTCAAATCAATAGAATTGAGAATGGAAACGGGGAATGTGTCAAAGGGACAACAACCGACCAAAGAGCAGAAAAAAGTCCAAGAATATGATTTCAGACTAAAAGACATGTTATGGTTGCTTGCAATTTGAGCAGATGAAACAAACCAGCACTGGTATGGATTTTATAATAAGTACTAAAAGGATAACGTTATTTATTGGAATTTTTTGTGTTTGTTGTCGGTAATGTTGTATACTTTCATTTCTTCATTTACTGATATATTTTTAGAAAAAAATCGGTTGTGAGACGATTTTTGTAGACATTGGTTGCGATTCATAGCAAAAAGGAACACATCTGATAAGAGAGACACACATAGTCACCATTGACGATGTTTCTGTTCCTTTGTAAAAAGAAAAGCCAATAGCCTCTCAATTGTTGGCTTACACCTTTATATATATATTCATACCTGATCCATGGTTTGCCGTGAATGTAAAGGTGTAGACTTTTAGTAATATTTCCTGGTAAGCATCTGTATCCTCTATGTTAGTGTAACTGATCTATAAGGAATAATGCATATTCTGGTAAAAAAATGTTTTTATCATATTTTCCACGCGTTTCAGGGATTTATGTAGCAATATAAACTAAATTAAAAAAAACATAACAAAACTTCAAACAACTTAAACGAAAAAAAACCCACAAAACAAAAACAAACAAACAAAAAAAAAAACAAATTAGAAATGAACAGAACAAAACAAAACAAACAACACAAAACAGATATTTTCTCTTTTCGAAAATGACAGATAAGATGTAAGCTATCAACGCTTTGAATTTCTACTTCCATCGTTTTTCTTTTTCTGTGTCTTTTTCTCTGTATAAAGGAATTGATGATTGTGTATAAAATATGTTTACTTTATTATTCCCATCTGAGCTCTTGTGCACATTTATACAACACGTATAGTTAGTTGTCAAAGTGCCACAAAAGAACACAGAAGATTACATTGTAAGGTTTTAGTGAAAAGGAATTTCTAATAAATTTGTTTCTTGTATTTATCATTGTCCCCGATATGTTAATAAACTTTCTCCTTACTATTTAAAATATTTGAGTTGATTGTTACATTATCAAGTGACGCATCATATAACGTCTCCTAGGATTACTTCCTCGTGGGGTAGACATGTTTAGAAATGTTAAAATTAAATAAGACATTAATGGATTTGATATGCGTCGACGCACAGAAGGGGACACTTGTCGGCATTGGCATTACTGTCCGTGATTATTCGAGTCTGTTCGATTCTTTTTTTTTTTCGAAAATAATTGAGTAGTTACCGATTTGTTTTTTGTTGTGGTGTTGTGTTTTTTTTTTTCGTTTTTTTTTGGGGGGGGGGGGGGGGGGGGTATGGAGTTTTTGTATATTTGTTCGTAAGAGCGTGGGTGTATTCTTATATTTTTTATATACGCTTCTGTTTGCTTCGTTTTTTATTATGTCTAACCATTCATAATAACTACCGTTTTTATTATTAATAGATTGGTTGTGTTTTATAATTTATCTAATGTTAAGGTAAGAGTGGATGTATTTACGGGTGGAGGAGAACTTATGTGTTTAACCGTTCTAAAATTAAGAAAATAAAGTTTTCATTTCAATTATTCAATAATGAACAAATATTAAAAGTATTTTTCCTTTTTTATTTACATTAATTTTCTATGCTTAAAACAGAAAACGAACGCAGTTTAATTTTTCTCAGTTTGTAATACTAATACTAGTTTGACGTAATTAAGTCATTTTGGACCGTACATATTTTGAGCTTATAATACATTGGCATTGTTCTTGATTTTTGTCACAATATATACCATAGACTCATAACAGTTTAGATTGAATATGGTACTATAAAATTGGATGGTAAAAAGGTTAACAGCATCTTGCGGAAGGGTATAGATGCCTTATGCTTAATGTAAGATTTTTCGCGATTTTTTACGCCACCTTAAACATTCGAAGCAAGATGTTTATTACTAATCTGCTCTTGTATTTTATGAAACCATGTAATGTGACTTATCTATCTATTAAAACAGGAGTTGCACGGCGATTGTCACTAACAGAACAAGAACAGTTGACCCTTCCGCACTACCCGAATTGTTTTTTTTCACCGTGTTCATAGATACATATTCTCCTTGGTGTTCCCTATAATAGAACCTCATACAGAGAGAAGAAGAAGAACAGTTGCTCTATTTTTTTTATTATATTTTTAAGTTTTCTGCGTTTTAAATTTTATTGCATTTTCGTTGTTTTTCTTTTGTTAAAAGTGTTGTCAGTTCTTGTCGACTTGTGGTGTTTGACTGCCCTCTTAGTATGGTCTCCTTTGTTTTTATACATGCATATATATATTAGTCCACAAGCATATATATAAGTCTTTAAATGAGGTGTCTTCTTTATATTACTCTTACTCTATATTCCACAATTCGTACATGTGTAACATGGGTTCAAAATAGTATTACCAGAAATGTAAGGCTTTATTAAAAGCAATGATAAAAGACATGGTTTAATAGTAAAACTTTGGTTCAGACGAACAAAAAAGCCAAGCGGCAGCCACCTCTGAAAGCTCATAATAGAGAGAGATATTACAGTTGCTTCCTAATGTCTAGTTCAGTTTTCCAGTGCAATATAAAAAAAAACGATATAGACTTCTTTACGCCAGTACTGAAGGACACAACACAGGTTGGTTTAGGCTAGACAGGGTTAACTTTGATGAAACAATGAAGACATATAAAAATAAGAAGATGTGATATGATTGCCAAATGCCAATGATACAACTTTCCTTCAAAGACCAAATTATCAGTTCTTCATTTTTTTTTCGAGTGAAAACAAAAAAAAGAGAGCATAGTTTGTTGTTTAGAGTAACGATAGAAAAAAGTTAACATTGTTTCTTTTTTCAATTTGTTTACATAAAGAAAAACCACGAACAAGATAGTCTTTCAATAAAATAATCAAAAAGTTATTATCAAAAATTTAATATGAAGTTCACGCATTTTTTCTGTAAAACATGCTTAATATCTAAAGCATTTGAACAATATAAGCTGACCCAGTCATTTTGAACTATTGCACTAGAACAAGAGCAAAAAAGAAGACTAGTTCGTTCCTATTTCTTAGTTTGTAAAAAAGAAATGAATAAAAAAATCAAAGAAAAGAAACAAATTAAAATAAGATGTAGTAGGATTTTCATTTTGAATATCTAAATTGAAGGTGAATACATAGTTCGTTATTTAAGTTCATTAATTGTTTATCAAAAACGAAAACAAAACATAGTTTGCTTTTTGATTATTTAACCCGCTAATCTAAATTCATATCCGCCATTTCAGCCCCCTCCTTTCTAAATCTAACAAATGTCCCTATAGATATGTTACTGATTTTTGTATGACCCTTAGAGTTGACGTGTCAAGCCATTTTAAACTGATTTTTACAGTTTGTTCTTATGTTGTGCTGTTACACTAGTGTCCCAGGTTATTGGCAGGGTTGAGCACTCGAAAACATATGTTTTCCCCTCAACATTATTTATTTGCCTGTCCTAAGCAAGGAGCACGTAAATCAGTAGTTGTCTTTTGTTCCTGTCTGTCGTAGTTTTTCGTTTATTTTTTTAATTACTCATAGTTGGTTATCTTGTTTGAATTGTTTCACATTTTGGCATGGTGGGGTTTTTATAACTTACTATGTAATATGAGTTTTGTAATTGTTGAAGGCCGTATGGATACTTATAGTTTCTTACACCCTCTCTTGTTTGAATTGTTTCGCATTTTGTCATGGTGGGGTTTATATAGCCTATGATGTAGAATTAGTTTTCTAATTGTTAAAGGCCGTATGCTAGCTTATAGTTGCTTACAACCTCGTCGATAGCGTCTAGGGAATAGTTGTCTTATTGTCAATTTTACCACATCTTCTTATTTTAAATCATACAGCTGTATTTCATTTTTTTTTTCAAATAAGGAAAAACGAATGAAAATCATATACACTGAACGCTGTTCTTATATTATTTTTTTTTATTTATCTAAAATGTGTGTATCAAAGGCGGAAACTATTGAAAAAGAGAATTGTTGCAAAAGTTGCATTTCCTGTAATTGTGTAAATTAAAACATATACACTATATTTATTCGAATTTCTGAACATTAGTATGAAGATGAAGCTACTATAGTACTTTTATCAGCAACAAACATTCAAACGCGTCACATCAAAATGATTTCAAAGCCGACATCTGAAACATCACTTTTGTAGATTATCAACCGTCAACAATTGTCTTTGACTATTTTAATTTACAATAGTTTAAAATCAACTTCTGAGTTTGAATGTCCCTTTGGTATCTTTTGCCTCTCCTTTGGAACCTAAAACTTGCACATCTTGACCAAAATAATCTATAAGATAACTTATTCATCAGTATAAAGAAATGTGATATCGAATAGGAAATAACTTTGGCAAATACGAATTCTTAAAAACTGACAACTTGTGATACAACTAAGAAGTATGCTATCAATGTTACATTTTCTTCTTCTTAAAAATGGCAATCATTTAGTTTTATATGTGCAATCAAATATAACGAATACATTATACATTTGGAACATAACAGGTGGATTAAATTTAAAGAGAATTATAAAATAGCGATATGGTCGTTCAACTACGTATATCGTATACATGTAAGCAAAGTCATTTAGAAGTAGGTAATTCATATATCCACTAATACTTTTTTCATTGTCTTTCATTTCAAAGGAATATACCCACAGTCTCTATTTACAGTTTGCAGGTTTTACTCTCAAATCATTGATGGAAGACATCTGAATCTCATATAAGTAAAACTTTTAAGAATTTTAATGAATATATGCATCTATGTAAAGGGGATTTGATTGAATTTACAATCAAAGTGAAAGTAAATCAACAATATGTTTGTTCGGAAACCTACCTTTGCATCAACTCTAAACTTTCCGAGGTCTTTGACGTCTGAATCCGATTGGAAATTATACTGGTACTCATAGAACGGTCTGAACTTGATAAAGTTTGTGTTGACTGGCCTATATACCACAAATAGGCATAAAAACCAGAATGTCCATATTACGGACCCCGGCTGGTCCATGATAGTTGTTAAATAACTATTATATTATGTTTTTTTGTTACATCAAGATTTGATCAAACCTTTTTCACTTAAGTATCTAATTGTGAATAAGGAAGTCACAATGTCTTATATACTAGGCCTGATCAAATATCAACTCTTATCAAATATCACGATTGGCCATAATAGTTTAAACTTTTAAGTTATTGGGCACCGAATTTAAACAAGAAAGTTTGTGTTAATACTTCGTTAGATACCATGGAGCTGTTTATCAATTATATAAAGTCATATCTTGACAGGATATCGATTAAGTACGTTATATATATATATGTTTTCTCCGTTTGAAGTGTGTCGTTTTGACTTACTAATTGAAGTCTACTAAATACAGTAAAAGGAATCAATACAAGGAGTACTTGCAGAATTCAAGCGCTGTGCAAACAAATATAAATCTACCATGAAACAAGGAAAAATCGTTCCTCTGAAAAACAATGAGGCCTTTTAAATTATTTGCCATTTAATGTTTAATCAGTTTACTTCAAGAAAAGATAAAACGACATTTTAAGACGACATGCAAAGTCATAATTTTTTGTATAATCCTAAAAGACATGTTGGGATTATGTTGTTTTCTGAGAAGATTGTTATAAGTGCATGGTTATTTGAAGTGCATTTATATTTTCCAAAAACTAATCTCGACTATACAAATTACATTTACAAAATAGGCCTTCTGTATTTTTTCTGTTGCTCATTGATCTTAATATTGTCTGTTGTGCATTACCCTTGATATTGTTTGTTGCGCATTGCCCTTTATATTGTCTGTTGCACATTGCTCTTTATAGTCTGTTGCACATTGCTCTTTATAGTCTGTTGCACATTGCTCTTTATAGTCTGTTGCACATTGCTCTTTATAGTCTGTTGCGCATTGCTCTTTATAGTCTGTTGCACATTGCTCTTTATAGTCTGTTGCACATTGCTCTTTATAGTCTGTTGCACATTGCTCTTTATAGTCTGTTGCGCATTGCTCTTTATAGTCTGTTGCACATTGCTCTTTATAGTCTGTTGCACATTGCTGTTTATGGTCTGTTGCACATTGCTCTTTATAGTATGTTGCACATTGCTCTTTTTATAGTCTGTTGCACATTTCTCTTTATAGTCTGTTGCACATTTCTCTTTATAGTATGTTGCACATTGCTCTTTTTATTGTCTGTTGCGCGTTAATCTTTATATTGTTTGTTACGTACATGCATTACTCTTTTGGCTGATGTTTTAAAATTCGGACAAATGTAAATAAAGGCAACAATAGTATACCACTGTTCAATAGTCACAATTCGATTAAGCAAAAACAAATCCGGGTAACAAACTAAAACCGAGGGAAACACACCAACTATAAGAGGAAAACAACGGAACAACAGAAACACTGAACTACAACAAAAGCAAACGCCAACATACATAGAAACGGACTATCTGATAACAACTGCCATATTCCTGACTTGGTACAGGACATTTTAAGGACGTTTGTTTAAGGTGGTACCCAACACCTTGACTAATATTAATTTGGCTCGTTTAATTTTCATAAAATTTTGACAAAATGTTTTCTTTGACCCTTTGACAAAAATATAAAAATTTCAAAAAATTTGAACCAACCACTTTATCAGAAAAATTTCATTGGTTATATAGCAGTTTAACAAACACTAATTTTGATCATTGAGAAGCTTAATATTTCCTTAACAATACAAAGTAATTAAAACGTTTAGCTGATTTTTACAGAGTTATCTCCCTGTAGTAATAGGTACCACCTTAACATTCGAAATACCAAGTTAGTGAATAAACCGAAATGTTGATTGTGGTAATTGTACCCATATATTCATAGATAGAACAAGTACTATAATATTAAGATAATTTTCAATGACATCTAAAAACATGATGTCACAATTGAATATGACCATTGATCAACGTTCCGATCAAACGAAAAAGACATTGATGAAAAAAAAATAATACATGTAATTTGAAAAGCCAAAGAAATATAAAAAAATAGGGTAAAGACCTTAGGGAATATATTATTGTAAACCAAAAAATAACGGTGCATTACATTTGCACGCAAAAATCATTACGTTTGCGCGCAGCTTTTGATAACATTTGCGCGCATTTATTTTACAGGTAAACTCAGGTAAACGCAGGTAAATACAGGTAATAATACTTATTTAACTATTTACAAGTACAAGTACTCCTTCCGTTAGTCTTAATCTCCTGCTCACCATCGAGGAGGTGGAAGTGGGATTTCGAGCAGGATAAGTCCGTTTTATTATGCACAAGCACTAAATCCTAGAAATATATGCAGATAAAAATGTTAAAATGTTAAAACATAGCAAATCTAAAAAGTAAAAGTACTGATTTTACATGTTGGTACGTGCAGAAATTTGTAGCCAATTGCTTTGAGAAATGAAATTCTGTTAACTTCTCTATCCTGATATTTTCTCAAACTCTTCAGGTCTTTGTCAATAAGTGTTTTTTTTTTTTATATATATTCAGTAATTCACAACGGACTAATTTCATAGGCCTAGAAGTTATGTCTGCTGTCGTTTTTTTATTTGCAACAACGCGGATAATCTTCCTCTCAAGTTTTCTAGCATTTGACTCATGTGTATGATCACAGTTACCATTTAGAATAGCAGTTGAATGTTCATCAGTTTTTCTACTAAATTTGCAATCCTTTACAGTGCATTACCATGAAATAGTGCCTGACTTCAGTGTTCTATCAATACAGAAAGTAAATCCATCGTACACCCTTATGATATTTTTCCCGATTTGTTTCATATTCCAAATTTAATAATTTATAGTCCTATTTATTATGAAAATTAATACATCATAGTCATATTTATTATGAATTACCTTTATTATTACCTGTGTTATCTGTAAAATGAATGCGCGCAAATGTAATCAAAAGCTGCGGACAAACGTAAAAAAATGTAATCCCTAAATGCGCGCAAATGTGATGAGCCCAAAATTAATGGAAAGCAGATTTCAGACAATTGGCTACTTGCTATATGATCTATCTGTATCACAGTTTACCTGGCAGAGGCTTATCTCTGATGCCTCAACGGCAACAACCAGTTTCAAGTTATGAGCATGTAGTTCAGTAGTTGTCGTTGGTTCATGTCTGTCATATGTGTTTTTCGTAAAATATTTTGTTATAAATTAGGCCGTTAGTTTTCTCCTATGAATTGATTCACATTTTACATGTCGGGGCCTTTTATAGCTGACTACACGGTATAGGGTTTTCTCGTTGTTGAAGGCCGTATGCATGCCTTTAATTGCTTATATTTACTTCATTTGAACTTTGGTGGATAGTTGTCTCATTGGCAATCATACTGCATCTCCTTATTTTTATACAGACATTTTATTTGTAGTACGGGAGTATCAAAACAATGATAATTGTTGATTCTGCAAGATGAAAAAAAAAAAAAAACACTACGATCTTTCTATTTTTCACCTGCAGATTAAAATACTTTTAGTATAAACAATTTCAAATTTACTTTTTTATATGGACATTTCGACAACGTGAACCAGATGGGGGTACTTGAAATTCAAACTATTAATGTGAGTGTTTTGTATATATGGTTTTTGAACGATAAAAGAAATGATAGATTTTTTGGGGTGAGTTTGTTATACATTGTCGTAAAACATTTCCAAAAGTGCTTCACGTCACTTGATTAAATGATTTTATCCCGTTTGAAATGTCTCCTTACCAAGTTAACCACTTGGCAACATGACGGGTGTTAGATGAGAAGCAGATTAATTAATTATGTTTCCCCTTTCTGAGCATCTTATATATTTTCCCTGTTATAAGATTCAAAGGTTGTCTATACCTGCTGTATTTAATGACCGTCAGATTTATATCGCTGCTATTTCTTTGTCTTGTCAGTATATTGTCCTTTTCCTTTAGCATTTTCCGACACCTCTTCCCACCCTTATCTTTATTATAATTTGTTTTGTGTCTTCAACGCAATATTTCTAAATGTATTTGATTTTCGTTGTCTTTAAAGATAAGAGTTTTCATGACTTAGTAAGATTTCGTATTTGTCACACAGTCAAACTAAATTTACAACTTATTTGCGTTTTATCAACAAGAACTTGCAATATTTTACATATATAAATAAGATAAACCATATACTAGACACTAGTCAAATACTTTTTCCTTACGAGACTTTAAAACTCTGCGTTAGAAAGAAAACAACATAAAAAGAATCTTTTAAAATGTCACAAGAACTTTATGTTTAACGTATATTAACAAACAGACAGAAATGAATTTATTTGAACATCTTTTACCATTTTTATCATATGATTGTCCTGAGTGAGAGGACAAGAGATACAAAAAAATGTAAGACGCAATAACATTATGTTTGAGGGTTTAGATTGGGTTTACAGAATTTATATAGAATAATGGACTCAAAATAGAGAATAAAGGGTATGACATTCAAAAAGCTCTTATATGAACCCCTTGGATCTGCTGGGGTTTGTGCTGCTCATTCTACGTTGTGTTTTCTAGACTATTGTTTGTCTTTTCGGGTTTGTCTTTTAAAGTTTTATGCCATGACCTTTGTCAGTTTGTCTTCCACTTATGATTTTGAATATCCCTTTGGTATCTTCCGTCTCTTTTATACCTTTAGTAGCTTCCAAACTCAATATAAATACGCGACTGTGATTTGCGCGATTCATTACAGCGGAAATGGTATTAATATTTAGCTTGATTATTTCTGCCATATCAATTCTTGTTGGATCTGTAAATTATATTTCCAGAAATGAAGGTAAATTTCTTTTTTTCAAATTCAATTATCAATGTAATATGTCTATATTTTCTATTGATAATTTTTAAAAATTGTTGTTATCGTGGTAAGCACTCACATACCGTAGGTCTTTCAAGGAAGAATTAGTTGGACTTTTGTCTCTGTTTCGGCAATTAGCTCTAGAAATTGTGTTACCAAATGTATGAAAATAATAAAAATTACGAAAAATGTCAACCCTCACAAATGTTCGTATGGTTTTTGATAAAGAGGACAGTTTAAAATACAACTGTATTTGACGCGTCTGTATTTGTTTGAATAAAAGCCAGGTTTGTAAAGTTGGCGAAATCCAAAGAATATTTAATTCTAAAGACTGTAAATTATGTAAATAATCAAGAGTCATATATAAAAATGTTATTTCGTTTACATATTCTTATCGATTACATAATAGAATAATACACATTATACCAATGTTTTGTATAATTTTGTATTAAAACATATACGAAACCAAAGTAAACTAAAATGTAATTTTAAGATAATCAATACACAGACTTGCTTTTAAATAGAAATTCTGTCTATAATGTGAATTTTCCCGTAATCATTTTCGGATAAATAATAAAATTTGTCAAAATCTATCACAATTTCAGTCATACGCCAATATCAATCAAAAAGTGCGTACGTTGTACACTGAGATGTTGTTATGTGCAATATAGTGTCGATTTTAAGAATGTTGAAAGTGAAATAAGTGCAGCAAAATTGGCTCTACTTCATTTGCTTTCAAATCAAATTAACATAGTCAATCAAACAAAGACATAGATGACAATACTGATATAATGATGAAAAAATCTTCTAGCATTGTTTTCTTTGTGATTGTTATGAAGTACCTTTATAGGGAAAAGCTAATATGTTTAGAGGGTACCTGCCGGTGCAGTGTAGAACTTATATGGAATGGAACCAATTGTATCATGAGTAAGATATATGTTCTTCAATGTTGTGATATCAATTTTGTTGTCATTATGCAACAATTGGTAACAATTCTACTCTGAACTTTTTTAAGAACCAATTTTGAGTCTACATGTAAAATTAAAACGTTTCTTATTCTATTCGAACTTGTATCGATTCGGCATCAACCAATTCCGTGAAAAAGATTTGCCTTTATACGAATAATTGTAATTTTTACATTGGTTGCAATGAATTACATTGATTTCCCATTGTAATAAAAACCGATAATTTCACATGTGAAATAAACGTGGTTATTTCACTCCTCTGACGTCATACAACAATAGGCGTTGTCAAGACGTCGATAACGTCGGATCAAAACAAATTGTGAATGCGTAGAAAAAAGATATAGCTCCTTACATTTTCTACATTAATTTCATTAAAAAAAGCCATTTTCCAATGTAATAAAAGAATAACTAATCAAAGAATTCAAATATCGAAAAATATTCAACTCGTGACCGAACAACACTGATAATTAACTCATGCGCTACGCGCATTCGTGAATTAATGTGTTCTTCGGTCACTCGTTGAATATTTTTCTCTATTTGAATTCTTCGATTAGTTATTCTATAAATATTTAGTAAAATTCAACGACAAAATAACTCTACAACACTTAATATGCCGTTTTGAACTTTAATCGAATTGTGAAATTGAGTTTGACTTTGGGAATTCCTTTTATGTATTTCCATGTCTTTGGGATATCCTCAAAACGTATACATAATAAGATAAAAACAAAAAGACAGGTGTGAACCCGTTCCGAACCCAAACATTTTATTCTTTTGAAATGTAACAGTTGTAAACTTCATCCCTTACGCGTCTAAACAGGTATAGTCTCGCTCTTTTTGTAATTCATGCAAATGCCTCAGTTATTGTTCGTTACCTTGATTTGTATCTTCTTTATTGATTTATAAGACGTGAGCAAGCAGTAAACTTCCGTTGCTAAAATTTAAGTTCATCATCAATAAGAAAACGGAAAAATATTCTCCGATTTGTTGTATACTGAATTAACTGTAGTAATTTTACTGCACCAGCTGCGCATTCAGACGCGAACATATAGACTTTGACGTAAATGTATGTATAATGGAAACTGTTTAAAGAGCCCACACAGCGTTATGCCACTATAAAGAAATATGAAATTCTAAAACAAAATTAGTTATTAAACTCCCCTGGAAAAGAAATAGTTTATACTTTGAATTTAAGTAAAAAAAAAAGTATAGAAATTCCAGTAATCTTTTTGAGTCCTTTCTTTTTTATTACTAGTATAAACCCATATATTACAGGACAAATGGCCGGTATGCAGTGTACTTCTCAGATTGAATGCCAAGACCACCTTCTTTGCGTGGAAGGATCATGTTCATGTCATGAAACACATTACCTGAAGGACAAAAAATGTTTCACAAGTGAGTGTTGACATGTGTCATACAACATATTAAGTGTAACACTTCTTGACATCACTTTATAAACGTTATCATTTTCTTTTCTGTAGTGTTTTCTTTTAATCACCCTTTTAAGAGTGGTAAAATGCAATCCTTAATATTTCGTAAATTATGCATGCAATAATTGGTGTCGTTTAGTTAATTATGACTTAAAATGTGTAGGATAAACATTGATGAGACTGCAAACCAACAACACAACCAAAAGGTCATTTGTAGACAAATTCACTATTGGTATTAATTATCAGTAATTTGTAAAACCTTTTCAATCATATTAAAATTGAGAATGTAAACTGGCTGGAATCCGCTTGTATAACGCTACACTCAAACAACCGGTACGGCCCAATCTTGAAGGGCAAAATTTTGCCCTGGAGATTTCAACGATATTCGACGGTACTTTGTTACATAGCAAATTAAAATATCCGAAAATGTAAACAAACAGAACAATTTGTTTCTTGTTGCATAGAGCATAAAATTAATGCGTAAAATAAATTCCCATTCTAAATTTTAATAAACTAATGTATTATAAAAAGAAAAAAATATTGAAAAAAGGCATCAATTTAAAATAAAATAAAATTCCGCTAAACTCCATGAATGAGTTGGGCACATACGCGTCATGGTAAACGTGACGTCATACAAAATGAAAACTTTCGAACTGAAGGCTATTATGATATGTCAACTGTGGATTTGACAGTAAATTTTAGCCAATGAAAAAATTGTTCAATGAAATTGATGGTTTGAAAAAAAGAATATGCTTTCAATCTTTATTAGTTGATTTGCGGTAACATTTCTTGGATTGTAACATAAAATAAAATTTCATGTTTACAATGGGAATTGCGGTATAATACACGTGATTTGATTGGATGATGGAGAAGTCTCATGACTAATCAAATTCTACAATAGATCGGATCTCACCGGTTGTCTATGAACAAGGTGTAGTAGTCAGTTGAGAGCCATCTTATTGAGAATGGAAATGGGGAATGTGTCAATAACCCGACCAACAAGCAGAAAACAGCCGAAGGCCACAATGGGTCTTCAACACAGCGAGAAAATCCCGCACCCGGAAGCGGGCTTCAGCTGACCCCTAAACAAACTAGTTCAATGAAAATGGACGTCACACTAAACTCCAAAACATATAAGTGAACTAAAATTTAAAAAACACACAAGACTAACAAAGGCCAGAGGCGCCTGACTTGGGACAGCGCAAAAATGCGGCGGGGTTAAACATGTTTTGTGATTTATTGCCATAGAATTAGACAACACGTCATGGTGGCAGACTTTTAAATATGAAATTCGTCAATGAATTCAACAGGGGCTATCAAATATCTGTGTTAAACACCAAATTCTCTTTATATATGTGAATATACTTTGTTATTTTTCTATTGCAATGTTGTTGCTTTTGCACAGATGCATGTAAGTGTTATAAAACAAAATACTGTCAAAGATGTTTATGATGCACAATGTCACCAAACAATCATGGTGCAACATGTATAAGGCAAGTGTTATTCATAATGTCACCAGCAGATCAGTATGCAACATGTACCAGATATGCATCATGCCAATGCGTAGTAATCAATATACTAGCGCAATATGCAGTATCGATTAAGGCGACAGTAGTTTACCGATGTTCAGATTTTGTAAGTCGATTTGGAAAAGACAAATCAAGGTAACAAACAGAAACAGTGAATCGCATGTACTCTAAATGGATCTAGACTTAGTGCGTCGATAGGATAAGCGCCCCCTTCTGAGCATGCATCACCGGTCACAAGAAACCACACCTCATTTAACCTCATAACTCTGATGAAGCATATTAAGTGTAAGGGGCCAACCTCTATTATTGCAGTCCGTATAATGTGAACACGCACAAGCGTAACGTATATATTAAGATGTGTAAACGCCATGTGATGAGACAGAGGGAGAGAGGCTGAGAAATGGGACGTTGACAATTGCAAAATTGAAATCATCACGATTGTCATAGATTCTAGTTTGCATATTTAGTGCAAGGTTGACTAGTTTTATTTCTTGTACCTTTATCCCTCTTGTAAAGTTTGTCAGTAAGGAAAATATTGACGTTCGTTGAAATCAGCGATATTACTGAACATAAGCATCAAATGTACTGATAAATGTATGACCTTATAAAAAGCAGTCAACGAAACATGACCATAAACGAACAGAAAAGTTATTACCTTTTTCGTTAATTGTGGTATGAAGATTATGCAGAGATAATAAAATTTCATCAGGAATTAAAGGGGTCAAAGATCACTTTTCAAGTTTGATTTTGCAGTCGTTTGATCAGATGTGGATTCTGAAAATTTTATCCAATTCTAAAAAATATTTTTCATATTTTTTTCCACTTGACCGTAAAATATAGAATAACTTAAGTTTGACTTAATATTTAGAATTTATTTATCAAAGGCCTAGAAAACAAGTCACATGGAATGAGAAGCTCTGTCGAACATTTCATATTGTTTCCAGCCGAGTATAAAGATTGTTACGGGACGGGTAGGTTTGTCCCGAAAATCAAAATGCATATCTTTCGCTTTACACCATGATGACTACTAGTATGTTTTATGTTATTAGTAAATTATAATATCCGTCAACCCTGGTGTTGAGTTACAAACAAAGTTAGTAGGTAGTGTAGCTGGCTAAACGGTCAAGGCGATGATAGCATAGCAGACAAAACAGCTAAGGCACTGGTCATAATATTGTAGCTTTTTAACTGATTAACATAGACTTACTAAGTGATTTAAGCTTTACAATTTATTATATATAAATCATTCAATATTCTACAAAGTATAAATCAAAGAAAACCCACCAGAGCACTTAGTTTGTTATATTTGAAAATATACAGCGACCCTTTTTAGTACGTTAATTATTTGTCGACATCATACATGTAGTTAAAAGTAAAATCACAAAAATACTGAACTCCGAGGAAAATTCAATCGGAAAGTCCCTAAGCGTAGTAAAATATCTAGATCAATCATGGTTTGGTATATTAATTCAACGGGAACGCATAACATAGCAAAGGTACATATATTTTAAGGGTTGCATCGATTGCGGCGTATTTGGTTTGCTGTGGTCATTTCCGTGGTATCATTTTCACACAACTGTCCCACCAATGTCTCGTGTCCCTATGGTGAATGTGGGCAAATTATGTAATGCTTATTTGATGCTGACCTCATGTCCTAAGGAAACTGACGACAATATACTTGCTGATGCAAATGCCGACGAGTACGAATGTTTATATTCTGTCAAGTCGGAAGATTGAGAAACGGAACTTAACTCTGATTTCTCTTAGCATGTATGGCTCCGTTTACAATATTCAAGCCTTACACAAATAAGACAGAAAGTAATAAAACGGGAACGTTTGAAATAAGGATAAACAGAAACTGGGAATAGTCGTTCAGTCTTTGGAACCTTTCTGGTCCAAGAGTGAATACGAACTCTCTCTCATTATTCCTAGTGGACTTACTAACAATATTTACATACACAAACAATAAAAGTATATGTACTGTTCATCAAATGTCTTTGCATAAAAAGTAAAATAACAAAAATACCGAACTCCAACGAAAATTAAAAAAGGAAAGTCACTTATCAAATGGCTAAATCAAAAGCTCAAACACATCAAACGAATGGTAGAAAACATCTGTCGTATTCCTGACTTGGTACAGATATTTCCTTATGTAGAAAATGGTGGATTAAACCTGGTTTTATACCTATAGGTTTTTATGCATACACATTCGGCATACAGTAAACGACCATGTTGAACAAAGTCGTATGTCCAAACCTACAGGTTGCAATTCTGTAAATATAGATAATGCAATTTCCCATAGGAACTCCCTTTGCAGCTAAAACTGTGCCACTTTTACTGTGAAGTTTCGTGAAAAAATATATCCCAGAACGGAAAGTTGATATGCACTACTATTTTATTCAAAGGTCAAAAGATAGGGCTGTGCGGCATATTTTAAACATTTTTATGCCCTGAACTTCTTAGAGTTTAAACTTATATTAAAATTCTATACTACCCCTACCTCCATTATTGGACCTCCTAAGAATTAAATTTTAGGCGCTACCATGTTTTTCTATACTGATAACATTTTAGTTTTCTGCGTTTTTAATTTTATTGCATTTTCGTTGTTTTTCTTTTGTTAAAAGTGTTGTCAGTTCTTGTCGATTTGTGGTGTTCTACTGCCCTCTTAGTATGGTCTCATTTGTTTTTATACATGCATATATATATTAGTCCACAAGCATATATATAAGTCTTTAAATGAGGTGTCTTCTTTATATTACTCTGAGTCCACAATTCGTACATGTGTAACATGGGTTCAAAATAGTATTACCAGAAATGTAAGGCTTTATTAAAAGCAATGATAAAAGACATGGTTTAATAGTAAAACTTTGGTTCAGACGAACAAAAAAGCCAAGCGGCAGCCACCTCTGAAAGCTCATAATAGAGAGAGATATTACAGTTGCTTCCTAATGTCTAGTTCAGTTTTCCAGTGCAATATTAAAAAAAAACGATATAGACTTCTTTACGCCAGTATTGAAGGACACAACACAGGTTGGTTTAGGCTAGACAGGGTTAACTTTGATGAAACAATGAAGACATATAAAAATAAGAAGATGTGATATGATTGCCAAATGCCAATGATACAACTTTCCTTCAAAGACCAAATTACCAGTTCTTCATGTTTTTTCGAGTGAAAACAAAAAAAGAGAGCATAGTTTGTTGTTTAGAGTAACGATAGAAAAAGTTAACATTGTTTCTTTTTTCAATTTGTTTACATAAAGAAAAACCACGAACAAGATAGTCTTTCAATAAAATAATCAAAAAGTTATTATCAAAAATTTAATATGAAGTTCACGCATTTTTTCTGTAAAAAATGCTTAATATCTAAAGCATTTAAACAATATAAGCTGACCCAGTCATTTTGAACTATTGCACTAGAACAAGAATAAAAAAGAAG